CACACACAAACAGACACACACACACACAGACACACGCACGCACACACATACACACACACAGGCTGAAATCAAACCTACAAGCACACTGTCAAGCTATTTAAGAACTGCTATAAATCTTTGAAATGGGAAGTTTGTTTACACATATCCTGAAAGATCGCTGTGGATATCTAGCAGATCTGTCACTGAGCGGCAGACTATCTGTTTCTTCCTCTGTGATAGAATGGTGAGGATGTGGAAACGAGATGGTCTGTGGAAAAGAAAATCCAGTCTTCATAACATCTTTATGCCAATGGGAGCAGAGCAGATGAGCTTTGGTGTTCATGTCATTGCTGACATGTGAGCCCTCACTTGGCATTTAGGATGCGAATCCTACAGATGAATAATGTGGCTCACAACAAGCTTGCAGTTATGCATCCCTCAGAAAACAGCGAACAACCAGACAAAATCACCAGCTGCAATTTTATCCACTGACTGAGTGAATCTTGGATGTTGACGACTCTCGTGGGGGGAAATGTGTTGTTGATCACAAAAAGCTGTTACGTCAGGAACATTAGCTCAAGTTTTTGCCCTGAGGAATGTATTCCCTGTGTTTGTTAATCCTAAAGTACTTTATCTCACAAAATAAGTGTTCCATAAAATACTAATATATTTCTTTTCAAAGCTACAAACTTTTTGTAACAAGTACATTTACAGCTTCAAATGTGGCAATTCAATGAATTATACTGAGCATACAAACTGCTCCTTGCTTTAAACAGCCTGACCAGATGAGTTCAAGTAAAAATTATGATTCATAAATGGTATGACCCTGTTAAATCCACTTCAGTTATTATATTTGATAGGGAGAGATATTCCCTTGTGCCTGTAGTTTCCAGGATAGGCTGCGGACCCCCCATGACCTTAAATAGGATAAGTGGGTGTCTGAAATGGATACTTGAATGGATAGAAGGAGACAAGAAAAAGGAGATTTTTTTTTTTTACTTTAGATGTCTGTCAGCGTGGAAGACAAAAGCAACATTACAATGCCATCCAAATTTTTTCACGCTTTATAAAGAAGGCTATATAAAGGTCTTGTTGTTTATCAGTCAACTACGGTGTTCATTGTCACTGGAGTATAAATGTTTGTTGTTGTTGAATAACAATGTATTTTCATTTTAAGGAGCAGTAACTTTACTGTCTACAGGGGGTTTTGGGTAAATACCCTACACCCCTCAAACTGTGCTTGGCTCCTCCTACTGCTAGATTCGCTTCACAATCAGGCAAGTGCTTAGTGCCCTCTAATGATGACTCTCACATTTCCAAGGAATATTGTGATTTTTATAATCCTATTTGATTGGAAATTTTAAGGACAATTACTTGACCAAACAATTGTCATTGGTGGACCGTCAATAAAAATGATATAATTTATTATATATATGATATTATAAAATAATAATATATGATGTCTATTGTACTGTGTGTGTGTGTATATATAAATATATACACTCACCTAAAGGATTATTAGGAACACCATACTAATACGGTGTTTGACCCCCTTTCGCCTTCAG